TTACTGTTCACTTTATCACACATTCAACATTATTAGAGAAACAAAACAAAATTTTGGATTCGATTTGTATGTGAAATAAGTGAAAAAAGTTGAATGCCGTCAAAAGACAATGTCTATCAGCATGTATGCTTTATTCATCATCAGGTTAGTGAAAATCTAATAACTTCCGCTTGATATTTTTCCTTTTTTAGTTCAGAATTTTTGTGGGCGGGCGACAAGATAAGACAAATGAATAAGAAATAAAAGGCTTTTCACAAAATTATAATTTTTGAAAGATAAAAGGAAGAATTTTTTTCTTATCTCGTCTAGTAAGTAAAAAAATGTTAGAGAACAAATTGTTTTTCTATTTTATTTGTTATGATCTAGTTAATACTTGTCTTAGTACTTGAGACTATAATTAGTTCAATCAGGAAATATTTTTATTTTGGAAGAGTTATTCATCTAATAGAACAAGTTTTATTTGATAAGCTAACTTTTACTTTTCTCATTGATAACGATTGGCCTCAAGCTAAATTTATCTCGAACCAAAAGAAAGCCAAATATCTTTTACTATCTCGTTCTGTTTGTTGATGAGTTGCTTGATTGGCAGTTGCTTATTCTACACTTGTCTACTTTTTGACATTTTATGTTAGACGGAAACTTATTTCCCTAATGCTACATTCGATGAAGAATGAAGAATAAATCCATAGCCATAACTATTTGTTATGAGTGCCTGCGAATTCCATCAATGTTGTCTCAGGTGTTCGCTTTCCGATTATATCGATCGACAAACATCACTAAACTATTCCCTTTGACGACTGAAAAATAAGAGAAACAAAAGAAAAAATCTATACAGTCTGATATAAAGCAATATAGAAATATTTGACAGTAATTGTAACCTGACATTTATCTCTTTCTAAGAAAATATTATTTCTATGATTATTGTTGATCAATTATTTGTTTAATTAAGAATATAAAAATAAAAAAAGAATATCGACAAATAAAATTAATAGGCTAAAGGCGTTTTCTACCAAGAGAAAAAGAGAATTGTTTACCTCCCAGTAGATGATGAAATCAATGCGAATCATAATTGTAATTGCGGAAATCGAGCTCTTCTCTCTTATCGCTATCTGGCTATCGTTTCGCTCGTCGAGAGACAAGCATTTCCCTGTATATATGTATGTGCACACATCTATTCAGCATCTCGTTAGTGATATTCCCTTTCCGGCATCTTTTCTCTTTTTTTTCTATCCATAATAGAAACGTTCGCATGCAACTTCAAATGTTTACACATAGAATACATTCATATTCAGAAATGAGTAAAAAGAAAGACAAAAAAAAGGCATGTGTGTGCATGTGATGAGAAGAATGATTTGTGATTAGAACCTGTCTTTTTTCTTTTATTGAACGATGTTGTCCAATGAATCGATGATCAGGGAAATAGTTGATTGTTGATGATCAGCAGTTTTCGCCGTATAGAATAAAAGAGAGGGCGAGAGAGAGAGAGAGAGAAAGAACTATATTTTTTTACCTCTTTCTTCTCTTACATTTACACGTAGGGAATCAAATAGAATATATAGAAACGAGTAAAAAAGCGAGATGGATGCCTGTCGTGCTCTTGCCACTGCCGAGATGAGATGCGATGCGATGAAATGAATGAATGAATGAATGAATAAAACGCGCACAGTGCCTATTAATAGTAAACGAGATTGGCATGGCTCACATCATCATCAATAGTCACGCTAAATAGAGACATGAGAAGAGCATTAAGGTAAGACTACGTTTTCAATTTCCGAGATGCACCAGAATATAAACTTATTTGGATGAATTTTGTTGTTGTTTCCGTTCTTTTTTTGTACATAGTCACTAATTAGCTATTTTATATTTTAATTTTATATGAAATAATGCAGAATACGAGAGAACTATCTATGTCGAAATGAAGGCAAACGTGTAAATACAGAAATGCAAACGATCTATTTATGGATCAGAATAAAAAATTTCCAATAAATTTTCTCCAAATGAGAATAATCTTTTACTATGCCTAAGGAAATAAAAGGAAATACGTGTAGATTTGTTTCGTCTGGTTTAATTGATCTATTCAAGTCACGTATTATCTATTATCTGTTACTCTTGACAAACGAAACACGTCGTGTCTTTTTCTTCTTCATTTCAGCTAGACCATCGACTTGATTACGATATGCACATAACGAGACAAAGTCCAGGTGTCGGTTAAGGCTTATTAAAATTTCATTTATAATTATGTTGAAATATTTTCCAACTAAACCTCCTTCTTTCTTTAGGCGTAAGACTGCATAGAAAAGCAAGAATTATAATTTGCTCCTATTTACTTTCATAATGAACTTTTTGCAACTATTAAAAGTAGTTTTTTTTTAACGTGATATCGACCTGTTAAAAGAAAATATTCAGATAAAACACAAATTTTGACAGTTATCGCAAATCTACCGGGAAAAGTTGGTGTGACGAAGTTCTTCATATATTTCATATATTTATATTTATATGTCGAAGGAAGGCAATTGTCACATAAATCGATTTCCGTTTTCCACACCCATTCATATATGTAAAAGTCATGAGTATAGACACATATGGGTGATGGCAGCGGCTGTTACTTCAGTTTTAAAAGTGGTTGCAAAAGAAAATATAGAGAGGAAACGAGAGTGCATTAATGTTACTCATGTTTGAGTGTTGATGTAAGTACGTTCGTTTAGTCAAAGAAAATTTTCAAATGAGTCATTCATGCTTGATTTATCTGATCGAGGAAAAAAGAAAAGATCTTTGGCTATTTTGTTTTTTGAATTATCAAACGAATAGCTTATTAGAAACGAAAAAAAGAATATTCTTAGGAATAAATAAGAAATATGTTCGATAGAAAAAAAGATTTTTGTATACTTGAATTTTTTTCACTAATAAAATTATTCAACTACGACAGTGACTGACTGTTCGGATTTCAAGTTTCTTTTTTATGAAAGCACATAAAAAGGTTATCAAGGTTAAATTGTTTTTATTCTTGTTAAAGTATTTTCTAAGAAGGATAGTTTAAAAATCTTATAAGATTCAATTTATTGTCTTTTAGTTATCTTTCAATAAAAAAATTAGAAGAAAAAGAAATGAATCAAACGAAAATGATTAATAATAAGTTATTGATGAATGAATATTGCACCTGTGTGTAACGAGATCATATATGTTTGTCTAACGGATGATCCTTTTTCGTTGTTTTGTTGACTTAGTCTTTCTATCATATATATATATATATATATATATTTTTTTTTTTTTTTTTTGAATCTAAATCATCAAATGAACATATGTAGATAGTTTCTCTCTTATTCTTTGTCTTTGTCTTTGTCTCTTTCTCGTACTCATTTCCTACGCATCAGATGTAATATTCAGTGCCTCGAGCTCCTTTTCTTTTATTTCTGGTGAAAATTTGTATGAAGGTTGCTTTTTTTTCATTTATTTATTCATAATCAAATCGTATGCACGAATGCATGCAATTAATTCAACGAATGAACATGTCGTTCTCAAATATTATTATTGGAAAGAAAATGAGAAAAGGAAAATTAATATTATCATATACGCATTAATATTTTTTCTATTAGAAAGAAAATTAAGGTAAATAGAATTCTATTTATATTCATTCTCATTTGAACGTTCGTCAACTTTTCTTTTTTGATAAATAAAAATGTTGATGTAGTGTCAAATACAATCATTAATTAAAACAAAAAGAAAAGTAGTACGCTAGAGATGACTTTCAGCCACAAAAATATTCTAAACGGACGCTTTTTTTATTCGGTTTTCTCTGGCGGCTTGTTTTGTTTTTTCTTCAGCTTGATATCGAGATAGAAAGTATTTAATTTGATGCCATCGTTTTATATTGCACTATTGAATCTTATTGTGCTTTGCTTTTTTCTCGCTCTAATACAACAAATCGGATTTAAAATAGAGATTATTAAAATAAATAAATGAACACATTCGAAGATTTGAATTTCATAAAAAAAAGTGGAGAAAAAAAGAAAAAAAAATAATATTTTGACCTGGTTTATTCTAGAAGAAAAAAATAGAAAAAAAGACGAACAAACATTAAAAAAAAAGCTCGTTTGATAAATATTCATTTCTTTCTCGTTTTTTTTTGCGTTTCGGTCGACACATGATGAGATATTATCCGATATGTACTTACCTTTCTTCTTGTTTTCTCGTTTATGTGCATCAAATAGCGAACGAAATCTTATATTCATTTTTTATTTTGATCAATTATTCAAATATTCGATTTTATCGAGTTAAGTATTTAAGAATTTTCTCTTTCATTTTAAAAAGTCATCAATCATTCTATATTAGAAACATTTAAATATTTGAGTTTTACTTCACTATGTACTTTGAATATTTTTATTGAAATTGACCAATTTTGCTCTTTTTCTTTCCGTCAATTGTATTGTATCTACTATTTTAATGCTTTTAAAAGCGAGCAGCCGAAAAACACATTCGAAAAAATGTAAGTTTTCGTACAAGAACGCCATCTAGAAATCTGTCAAATAGTGCTTATACATGTATATATATATATAATTGTATGTACGTGTGTTTATTTATGACATAGAGTACAGGCTTGTTGTTGTTGTTATTGTTGTTGTATATAAAAGAAAGATAATTAAAGGAAGAATAAATGGTTGACACATGTCCTATTTGAGACATTCATTTTTGGTTTATTCATTTATCTATTTGTTTTCTTTAGATTGATTGAATAATAAATATATATTTATTTCTAGATGATATATATCGATTGATTACTTATTGTTGTTGTTTTTTTTGTCTAATCTTCGACAAAAGACAAATCTGTGCATTCCATCCACCTACACAGAGAAAGGGCGTAAATACATTTTTTTCTATTTATCAAATCCGGTGTTTTTATTTGACTTATATTTGCAATATGATTATTTTGTTTAAATGTAAGTTTGAATAAAAGAATAAATAAATAAACAACGAAGTTAAATTCAATTCAATAATTTAGAATAATGTTAACTCGATCATCTGCAGCTTCGCGTTTATCTCCGACTTTAAACGAACAAATTGAAAAGCGTCGACGTTCAACAATAACAACAAATGATGATCAACAACAGAATGATAATTCATCATCATCATCATCATCACAAGCTAAACCATTAAAGAAACGTTGGTTAGCTCATCATAATGTTGATCAAGAACAACAATTAAATAACACAAATATTCAAGGTATTTATTGAGAAGAAAAAGGAAAACTTTATTTATAATAGAAAAATAAAAATAATGTTTTCTTTAAAGATAATTTATCGTCAATAAATAATTTAATAAATGAGTATAATTTTCAAGATTGGCAAACAATAACAGTTCTCGTACGAATAGGAAATAATCAATCAAATGAATATGTATCAGGTACAATAGTTGATATACCAAAAAATGGTCATTTAACTGTTGCACCATCAATTGTACATGATAATTTATTTCCAAATAAAGTTCAAATAAATTTATTTGAAGATCTTTTTGGAATATTATCTGATAATGCTCCACCGATACGAGAATTAATTGAAGGCAAGCATGTTTTATGTCGAAGACAACAAATAGAATCAGAAACAAATTTCAAATATGCAACTTATCAATCTGGAATTATTGTTGAAAAAACAAATGATGCAAAATTTAATATTTCATTTGATAACCAACAAGATACCGTATGTGTACCAAGACAATCAATAAGATTATTTTTACCGCCGTGGCATGATGGTTTGTTTTAGAAAGATTTTGCTTTTAAATATTTTATTTTTAAATCTAAATAGAAATTCCTGTTGATTGGAATGCTGCACTTGATGCTAAATCTTTGTTTAAATCGAGCAATACATCTGAAATTAATCATCAACACGGTTTGAATTGATTTTGTTTTTATTTTTTATTTCAATTAGGATATTCTTTATAAAAATTTTATTCGGAAGAGATTTTTTCTTTTTTGATTCCTTACAGATAAACTTAACTATGAAATTGTTTTTTCTGGAGAAAAAGAAATCATTTTGATCTCTAAATAATACACTCACTTATATGTGTGATTGCTTATTAAGTCTTGAGCTATTTATATATTGAATATAAAATTTGAATCAAATTTTGTATCATTCGTCATTGACAAGATCGAAAAATATTTCATCAACTGCATATTCTTCTTCAAATGGCTTACGAAACTGAGTGCTTAGATTTGTATTACTTGATATAGTTTATAAAATGGATAACCGCTTGTGAATTGTTGTCACATGCTTTGATATAATACAGACTTTGACGATCTATAAACTATAGAGAAAGGAATTTGTACTTGTAGTTTATGCCAATCGAATTATTTCATTTTGTTTCTGTTTTGATAATGACATAACTTTCTGAAAGAATATGGAGGAAAATTTTCTACTGGATTTTGACATTCAACTTTCGAGATAATATATTTTTCAAAATTACCTTTCTTTTTATCAATTAATATTTCAAAAGCTTCTGTTATTGAAAAGTTTGTTTTTATTGTAACCATAGATAGATATTGAAACAATTGAAACGTTCACCGTTTTTTTTGTTAAATTATCTTATTCAAAAACCTTTTTCTCTTTCTGTAAAGTTATACTTCGAATTTCTATTTTTTGCTAATATTTATGAAGTCTATATTTTTCAATAATATGATGGGAAAGCTAGAAATATGTCATATGATGTGAACAGAAACTATTTTCTGAGTATGAGTCAATATATCTTGTTCGTTTCGATCAAGAGGGAAATCCATAGATAGGAAATTTGGTTTTTTATTTATACATAAAAATATTGTTTTTTTTTCATTATTTTTTATACATTTATGAAATCGAATAATACGTTTATGTGAAAGATCATAAATAGAAAAATATTATGGTCATAGATTAAATTTAGTTTTGTAACAAGTTTTACGTTATTTCCATACTTATTAGAATAGATTTGAAATAGATTGAATAGTAATTTTATCGAAAAGAATCTTTTTGTGTTTCAAGGTAAATGAATGCTATTTAGTGAACTCTATTAAAACATGAGTATCGTACTTCTTCAATTCAAACTTCTATTTTTTCAAATCAAAGCATTTCTCAAGTCTAAAATGACCAAAACTAAATGATGAAATAATTCATAGAAGAATAAATTCGAAATACATAATGTTTTTTCAAAATACAAAAAGAAAATTATTCAAAGTCTAACGAATATTTCTTTTTCAGTTGAAATGATTATTTTCATCATTGATAAATATAATCTAGATTAATTAATAATCAATTCTTTAAGTGACAAACAAACGAGCCTACATAAAAAAAAAACTGTAAAGCCTATGAATATAATCATGAAGGAAATTGTTCTCTGAGGTCACATAGCTAAAACATTTTTATAAAATTTAATTGAAAAGATAATAATAGAGATTTTTTATAGAGAGTATAGAAAAAACAAAATCTAAATTGAACGGAAATGAAAAATAGTTTATGAGTGCTTAGAGAGTTTAATGGAATTCATATCAGAATATGATCGTCCTTTTTCAAATATTTTATTAAAATAATAAAAAAATCTCTTTGTTTAGGTTGTTGTGGCAGTCCATCTCCACGTGAATCATCTGTATCATCAAATGATAGTTTACAATCAACAAATATTAATATAAATGAATCGAATAAAGTAATAACAAGTGATTCTTTGATAAAAGAAACAACCTCAACAATAAATTCAAATTTTACATTAAATAATAACAATACAAATGATATTCCAACAACAATTTATAATCAAATAACTTATCGTAAAGGTGATGTTATGACATCGACACAATCCCAAATTCGAAAAAAATTTAACGGAAAACAATGGCGTCGCCTTTGTTCAAAAGATGGTTGTCCAAGAGAATCTCAAAGACGTGGTCTTTGTTCAAGACATTTATCACAAAAAGGAAGACAAGAACATAATGCTCAAACGACACTCAGCTTTGATAGAATTCATTCTCAGCCATCAATTATTCCATTAACTACAAATAATTCATCAATCCATCATGGTTATTATTCTGCACCACAATCAAGAACAACAACACCACTATTTTTCTCACAATCACCAAGATTTCTATTGCAACAAAATTGTAAATATTAATTATTTGAAACTATTAATTTTCTTCTTTAAGTAAAATATGAAATCCAAATTTTTACGAACCTTTCTCGACGAATATATAATTTATATACTTTCAAAGTTTTCTCTTTTTCAAAACTAATCTCTTGTTTTTCTTAAACATATGACGATGACTTTAACTAAGCTTTAATAGATTTTCTTGTATGTATACTATTTTTAATTTTTAAGATCTGACAAAGTTTCTAAGAAAAACTTACTCGATTTTAACCCAAATAATTGAAAGAAAAATTCGACTTAGAAAAATAAATGGAAAATTCTCTGCGAGAAAGGAGATCTCTTTTCATTTTTTTTACTTGGTTGCTCTTAAAATTGAAACTTTAATTGAAATATTATTTATGTTCATAGTTTCAAGCTCAAATCCTTCAAAAACCTCCAAATCACTTCTTTTTATTGACCTGCTAGAAGTGTAAATTATGATATTCTGAATCTGAATATTTTCTTTTTAACCTCTTAGAAAAGAAAATCTAATTTTGATAATTTTAATGACTCGTTGAACCTTTTTTCACATTCCAGTTTCTTTCTTCTTTCCACGAGACAAATTCTACTTAATATTTAAAAACAAAAATGAAACGTCTGTTAAACAATCAGAGTAGTAAATTATCTATTGTGTCAACAAATGTCAAATTGTACTACAATACAGAGATTCTATTTAATGAAGATGATTTGACATGAATATTTACATTAAACTGATAAATATTTGATAATTTTTGTTTTTTGGAAGAAATTTCATTTTCGTCATATTCGGATACATTTTTGAAGAAGATGGTGCATGCAAATTTAAAACCAATATATTTAGAATTTTGTTCTTCTGATTGCTTACATCAATGAGTTCATCATGTCGCTAATTAGAAACAAACGGTTGTCTTACCGTTCTTTTTCTCATGACAAGCTATTTCATGAAAATAGGGTCTACTCATTGCAAATATTAGCAATCAGTAAATTGCTTCTTTTCCTTCTATTACAAACATGAGCAACTAGATTATATCCTAGTTAAGCACCGTAAAAATAGGATGCACTTTTACAAGAGGTTTTTTTGACATAAACTGTTTTATGCTGACCTCGATAGTCTAAATGATACGTATGAGGACCATATTTTAATCCTGATGGGGTAGCGCTTATTACTCTTTGGACTTTATAAACAAAATGAATATGCTTCAAATTTATTTGTTTGCCTATTTTCTAGCGTTTCAAAATGAAGTTTTCGATTCAAATAGTTATCCATCAGCTCCACGTTCAACGACATCAGAAATCTCAACAAATGAATCGTCTCAAGGTTTCCTTTTATTATCGTGGGAAATAGTTGAATTTATTTTATTTTATGTTATTTTGTTTAGTAAATCCAATTCGAACAGTTAATTGGCCAGACATTTTACCTAAGATAACAATTAATCTTGATCAAAGTCCCTTTGATCCGATGTCAACAAGTAAAACCAAGACTTATCAATATATATATATATATATATATATATTTCACTATTTGTTTTCGCAGATCAAACACAAGACGATGAAAATAATAATTCTTCAAATCCTGATGAAAATCCAATGAAGGAGGACGATTCAAATGGAAATTCAAATTCAAATTCAAATTCAAATAATAATAAAAATGACAATGAAAATAAGTCATCTTATAATGGTGATTATCAATCATTGAGAAATGTTTCTCTGTCACCATCTAAAGAAAAACACATTCGTCGTCCAATGAATTCATTCATGTTATTTTCTCAAGAGCAGCGTGGAAAAATTCATTTAGCAAATCCTAATCGGGACAATAGAAATGTTTCAAAAATTTTAGGTGAAAAATGGTATTCATTATCAGCACAAGAACAAGAACAATATAGAATACGTGCTAAACAATTAAGATATGAACATTCAAAACAAAATCCTTCATTTAAATGGACAAATCAATTAAATAATTTAGATAATCAAATTAATTCAAAAGATGAACAAGAACAATGTAGAAGATCAGCTAGATTACAATCACAATCCAATCAAGACAAAAATACATCACCGTCTTGCGATAGATTACAAGCTTTCGCTCAAGTATTGATTTATTGTTCGAAGTTTTATCTATTTTATTTTATATTAAAAATAGATTTGTACAAATATGCCAAAATTGACCGAAGAATCAACACAACGTTTTTCTCCAATCACAAAACCGTCAACAGATAATAATGCAACATTAACAAATCTTATAGCACCTGTTCCTATTCATGGAAATTCAACTCCAACATTAATTGTAAATCAAAATTCGTCAGAGTTTAATACAAATGTTAATTATAGCAATGGTAATTTATTTTATTTCATAAATAAAAAAAGGCTATCGTTTAAGCGATCGTAGAATAAATGAATGATCAGTACATAATTTGTGTGATCAGTTATTAATATACTTCGATTTATGGATGTATTTAAAAATCAGTAAATTAGATTCAAGGATCAGTATACAAATTGAAATGTGTTATAAGATGATTTACTTTTTTTTCATATTTGTTCTTTTGATCTTTATATCGTACAGCTGACAAGTACAACATATATAAATGTACTCTTAGCTCCTTTCTTTCACGTTCAGCTTAGTATCAACGAGTAAAAAAGATGGAAGTCGTACAAGTTGCTCAGTATGAAAGTGATATATCAGACAAAGAGGTTCTGGAAGAAAGCGATGGAATAAATGGAAATGAAAGAATGCAAAAAAGGATGTGAGGGCAGTGTAGATGAGCAGAAGAATCACACCCACACCCAAGCTTCTATGTTTTACTGATCAATTTTATCTTTTTTACTGGTAATTATATATAATAAACTGATCACTTTAAGATTAGTTACTGATCGTTTTAGTACTGATCATTCATATTCTTTTTTACTGATCATTTTATTTATTTTACTGATCACATATAATGTTCCCAATAAACAATGCAATCATATCGCTTAAATGATTAATAATAATTAATTGTTCAGAGAAAAATTTCAACCAAAATAAAGATTTCAGTTATCGAAAGATTATCGAAAACAAACAACTCTTTAAAAGCATTTACTAATCAAAGCTTTATATTTTGGTTTTTTTCATTGTTTGATTCTAATTAATTCAAAATTATTCTCATATGTTTAATATTGTTTTACCATATTTTTCTAAGAAACGAAAAAGAAGTTCCAAATTTGAGTTGAAATTCTAATTTTCTAGTTCTAATTGTTTCAGCAAAACCTAAACAGACCAATTTTTTACTCTGAGTACACTTTTATGCATTTGTAAAATAGATTAAGTTAACGCTTGTGTTCAATACTTTGCATTGTTTACTAGCGATTTTCAAAATCAATGTTAAAACAGTAACCATTTTTGTTTATGTTCATCATTGAATAATATTTGAGTTAAAACTTATTCTTCGATATTAGGAAAATTAAAAATTCAGATCGATTTCTATATGTTTAAACAATTTGTAATTGCTTTCTCACCATTGAGTAATGAGAAAAGTTGTTCAACTGGTCAATTTCTCTCTTGCCTCAAGACACTAAATATTCAAACAATATTTATTCAAACTACGATAAAGAGAAAAGTCAACATTTTTATTTTAAAATCTTGAGAATAGTCTTATTTTATTTGGGCATTAGTTTTGTAATAAAAACATAACATAATTATTATGTAGATAAGTCAGTATTGTCTAGAATTTGAATAGATCAAAAAACAATTTTGAGAATATTTTCATTAGTCTGAAAAAAACTCATTTTAGGAAAAATCAACGAAGATTTCTCATGATCGATACAGAATAAATAGAGGATTTTGTTTCGAAAGACATCGAATAATCCGAAACATTCTATTATGTTTAGATAAAATATTAGAAAGCCTTATTGCAAGCATTCTTTAGATTTTCTTTTTAGCTTAAGAATTGAGAATGTCCTAAATAAATTTTTTCTCTCGTATAAATAGATCCGAAACGAAATTTCTTCTAACTGAATAAAATCTTTGATAAATCTTATTTATAAAATTAAAATCAATTGCTAAGAAATAATCTTCATTTCTTATCAAAATGAACTAGGGCTTTTTTTGTTAAATTTATTTATTGAGAAATCATAAAACTGACTGGAATCTTAAACATATGAACATTTAGTATATATATGTAAAGCAATAAAACTTTTTTTTTTTAAGATATTAAATAATAAACAGAATATAGATAATTAATTTCAAAATTTTCTTTGTGTACTACAACGTTTTGTTGCTCCATTTGAAATATTTCGAAGACAAGCTTTATTTATTTTTATCAATAGAAACTTTTCTTTATAAAAGAAGAAAAGAATTAAAATATAAGTAGAATGCCATTGATAACTATTTATCGAATAATAGATTTATTGAATTAATTCTTTTTAATTTAGTTTTTGAGAAAATTTATCTAAATAAAAAAATTTAATTTAAAACTAATTCTTTTAATAATAATAATATCAATAACATTCATTAAAATCTCGGTTTAGAAATGGATACATCTCAAAATGGAATCTTTCAATATCGTAATACTGCTTTTCGTGTTCATCCATCTTGTAATTCAAATAATGATGAAAGGAAAAGTCATTCATTATCAAGTTCTCCTAATTTAAAAACTGAAAATTCTTCATCAATATTAACTGAAAATGACAAATATCGAACAATTGTGTCAATGTTAATTAATCAACGTAAAGCAAATCTTAGTCTTGAGCAACAATTAAAATATTTACAATCAACAACGAATCATATAACTAAAGTCACAGCATCTCAATCACCACCAACCACGTATTCAGCTTTATCAACTGAATCGAACAGTAATCATAATTTAATTAATGATTTTAGCGATCGTTTCAATTCAAACCGATCATTTGCAATTAAACCATTTTCAATCAATGAACATCAACAAAGAAATTTTATTTTTAACAATTCTCAAAATCATTTTATAACACGTTCAATTGGTAAAAAGAAAATCTTCGTTGTTAGATACACATTGTTTTTTTTTCTGTTTAGCATCATTATCATCGTCGTCATCATCGAGTAATTCAACAGGTTATTCAAGTGGTTCATCATCATCAGCGTCTTCGCTTGATAGTAGTAGTACAATATTATCAGCGTATAGCTCACGTTCAAATAGTTCATTATCTGAACGAAGTAAAACATCTCCAACACCATTGAAACAAATTTCAATACAATATTTACCAACAATCAATGAATCCAGTATTCATTGTCCGACAGCAGCTGATGATGAAGTTACACAATTGACTTCACTTAATGAAAATAAATATCAATCAAATAGTGTATTACAACAGTTTCCATTACCACCAACCTCTGATCAATTAGATACTGTTCAGAGTAAATCTTTAACAAAAAGACGAAAAACTATTACTTTAGAGGTTTGATATGATTTATATATTAATCTAGCATAAGCTTACACCAATAGAACGAAAATGAATAAATAATAGCAGCGTTATCACTTTCAGTTATATTTCATATTACTTTTTGAAACATCTTTCGTGTTTTTTTTGCATATCCTAATCTATTTCTTCAAAATAGATTTGCATTATGAAGAGTAACTAATCTCCTTGTGATCGTCTGATGAATTCTATTATCGATCAATAGAAATAGCTCTATTCACGACACTGATGCTTGTAAGCTTAGTTTATTTTTTCATCACGATGAATTCAATATAGATGTTCATCAGTGACAAGAAAATATTTTATTAGGAAAATATAAGAAAAAGTTTTCTTACCAAACTTCCATTTCTTTTTGACTCAAGAAATAAAATTAATATAAAAACTTTTGACAACAGAGATTTGTTAGTTGAATATGTTTTATTCAAAAACGAAGCACTTATGATTGATTAAATGAATAACAAAAAATTTGTTGAACCAGTTTTTGAATGAAAATTGTAAAACATTATTTAGTAATATTATTTATGATAAAATGTTTTTCTTATTTTAGTTTGTTCAACGTCCAACAACTCGATCTCAAAGTATAAGTGAACGTGTCAGCACAAATAGCTGTACTAGTATTAATAGTGAATCATGTTCTATTGTCACACGTAAACGAAAAGCATCAATTGCTAATGAACAAACTGAAAGTGAAATAAAACGCACAACAACTGATTATATTAAACAATTAGATGGTAAGATCTAATTGACATTTTAGAAAAATAAAATAAAAAGATGTTCTAGAAATGAAAAATCAATATATAAAAGCAAACTCAAATCGTCAAACAAATTCTTCAACTCCTTCAAATAATCAAGCAATAAATAAAAATCAATTAGCATCAAGATTAAGAGTTATTGATTTTTTAAAAGATCAACTTTACCCCACCGGTAAATATTCTATTTATGAAAGAAAATCTAAAAAGAAAAACAATGAATCGATTTCTTTTTTAATTAACAAAAAACATAGATTCGGCAATATTATCTTTTCAAATAGCAAATCAAGAGCTATTTCCAAAGAGACGCTTATTAAACCAACGTATTCGAGAAATTCGTCAAAAATTGATGAGTCATTTGAATCAACAACAAACATTACGTGAACACTTATCATAAATTTGGCTTTCCTCTTTTTTCATTTAATTTTTTCGTTTTTCTTTGTTTATTCGATGTTGTGCCATACGTATGTCGTGGTAGTCTTAGCCTCTCATTGTTCACCCACCGGAATGACGTGTCCGCTCGCCTCTTCTCTCTTTCTAGTCCGCGTTCTCTTTTTGTTTCGTTTTGTTTTTCTAGACAACAAAAGCTATGTGTCTCTTTTTGTTTTTGATTAGGTATAATTTCTTGTTTTCTTTGTTTTCATTTAATTTTCATTATTATCATCATCATCATAAAAGACCCGCTTTTAAACGTGTCTCTAAAAAAAACAAATAAACAAGATTTTCTCTTAATTGTTAATTATTTTCTCTCGTTTGTTTTTTTTATTCTATTGTGTGTTAAAATATGTTGAAAGGTCTCTATTCTACAGTATGTGTGCGCCATGTCAGATGAAGGTTTTCATAAACTTTGTTGCAGAGCGAGAGAGAGAGAGAGAGAGAGAGAGAGATAGAAAAAGAAAAAATATTTAAGAGAAAAAAAAACTTATTTGTTGTTATTCGCCTTGTCTGTTTTTTCGCGTCTCGTCTTTGTCAATGTAACGCGTTTTGTGTATTTTATCATTTTTTTTCATTCTTACATTGGATAACAAGAAGAAAAAAATATATTAACAAAATTCGTAAAGTGATCCTTCACTGTAGATGTTTTCATGGCGATTTGAGAATCCGATGAAAAATTTTTCATCTGTATTCAAAATGTTTATTGTTACGAGATTGATAAGTGCATTGCTTAATCCAATTGATGATTGTGATGAAGTTTACAATTTTTATGAACCAGTAAGTTTTATTCAAGTTTAAGAAAAAAGCATTCATTTGCCCATTGAAAATCGAAAATAAAAAAGTAACTTATTGATTTTAGTTACACAAGTTAATGTATGGAAATGGTTTTCAAACATGGGAATATTCTCCTTTATTTGCTCTTCGTTCTTATGCTTATATTCTTCTTCATTGGTTACCGATTTCTTTGATTCCTTCTAGTTGTAAAGTGAGATTATTGAGATTTTAATTTTTAATCAGTTTTAGTTCATCACAAAAGATATTTAGTTGATCGCATTTTATACACTTCGGATTTGTCTTGCAATTGTATGTTCAACATGTGAAGCTTTCTTTTTTCGGTTAGTATTTAGAATGATATCAAACTTTTAAAAATAAAATTTTCAACAAAAATGAATTGATGAATACAGCTGTTTGAAAAAAGAAAAATACACTTGCAGAAGATAAGAATTCTTTTTTAATGATTTGAGATTTTTTGAAACGATGCGAAATATTTATTTTTCAAGAGTCGGTTTTTTTGTCAGATATAAAAGGAAACAGTCTAATGGAATGTTTTGTTTTTGAAAATATAAAAAAATTCGATACAGAATATCATGCTCTACCTAACAAAGAAACTTTTCTCTATTCCGATTAATTTAATGAAGCAAATTTGTAAGATTACATTGAACTGTCGAGAATAAAAAGAAAATATTTTCTTCTAAACTCTATTCGTAATAGTAACAAATTCAAAGTACTAAGTTTAATTAAATATTGAATGAGATTTTACCGATCACATGCTTATTGGATCAAAGAAAAAAATAAGGAATTGTTGATCAATGCATTAGTTATTATATTTAGATATTTATTTTTAAAAATGAATGAGACTTTATGAATAATGAATCGGAAGATGTGTGATATTGTTTCATAATCTATAATAGAGTTCTAAAGAAGAAATACCATTGATAAGATGAGTAGAATTTCTTATAGGCCGATCAGTCTACCAAATTCAATTTAACTGCTAATGGGAAAAATTGTCAGGCAAACGTAAAAGATGAAGTTGAATATAGAAAATAGAAAACAACTCAAATCTTATTTTTTGTTATAAAAAATAGTTCTAGTTAAATAATGTTGCTATTATCTAGCTAAGGAAGTGTATATCGTTTATGAAAAAATAATATTCTTCTTTTATTTCTTCTAAAACTAAAGGAAGAAAATTTTTATATCATAGTATTTATTGTCGTCTATTATTTTAAAGATGAAATAATTGAACTAGAACTATACAAAACAAATACTGTTTACCTTTTGTAAATAACAATAAAAAAATGAATAATTATGAATGAAAGTTCTGATTCATTTGACTTTGCCGCTTATGAGAAAGATAAATAGATTAAATTTATTGTAAAGACTTTGAAAATAATTAATTAAGAATGCGCAACTTAAAAGAATAATCGTGTCAACTTCAAATATTGTGATTGAACAAGTAAAAACACAGTGAAAAAAACTTTTCTTAATTGTTCAGTTTCATCTTAGTTGAAATATTTCGCAGATTATTATTAGATTTTTTAAGGATTTTGAAATAAGTTTCTCATGCGTAATAACGTTTGAAACAGAACCATATAGAATGTTTTGCGATTTTATATATCTGAGAAAAGAATCAGAAAAATGTTGATTTCATTCCAGTCTAAGTCTTATGATTACATTTAATACAACAATGAAGTTGCTCTACTGATTCGTATTAACACTATGGAATGTGTGACATCCTATTATTATTATTATTTATGTTCTAAGATGGAATAAGAAATATTTTTACAAAAATGAATCTTTCGAATATTTTTTCAACAAAATCAAACATGGCAGTACTTTCAAAAAGAGACTTAATCAAAAAAATGAATAACTCAATGCATAGAAATTATCGAAATTGAATTGGACACCTTCGTGTTCAAGTCAAAAGATACAATTTAATTTCTAAAATAGAAAATAGAAATAATCGTATTATTAATGATTAATAATATGGCTATCTATTCATTTTCTAGTGCAATTGATAAACAATTGAATAGCTCAATAGCTCGCAATTATGCATTATTATCAATATTTAATGTGGCTTTATTTCGTAGTAGTAGTGCTTTTATCAATAATTCATTTTCAATGTATACTGTTTTGTTTGCTTATACATGTTGGTTTTCAAATGCATTATCAGTAAGAAACAAAAAGGATTTATTTTGTCTTAGATTAAAATTCTTATTTTTTCCTATAGCTATCAGTTTTCTTTATTGCTTTTGGATCATTATGTGGATGGATTTATGTTGCTGCACTTGGGTAATCATTAAAATTATGTTATTGTTTGTTTCTTAATTTTATCTTTGAATAACTTTATGCTGTCAAGTATTCCGATAGCAGTTGATATATGTTTTCGTCGACAACGTTATATGGATTTTATAAAATGGAGTATTATATCTGGTTTGATTCTATTAGTAAATTAAAAAATATGCGAATTTTTGTTGAATATCAAATTTCGTTTTATTTCTATACAGATTCCATTATGTGTAATTGATTCATATTATTATGGAAAATTAATTATAACACCATTAAATCATATTCGTTATAATTTATTTTCCAAACATGGTCCAACTCTTTATGGTAAATCAATTAAAATAATAATTTATTGAATTATTTTTGTCTTCTACTCTATTCGTCAGGTACAGAACCATGGATCTATTATATTATTAATGGTTTACTCAATTTTAATATTATTTATCCATTAGCAATAATTGGAATTATCTTAACAGTAAATCAATTTATTTATTGTTGTCGTTTTGTTTAAATATTGCAATTGTTTTCTTTTAGCCATTGATTGATCTTGTTTTTGATCGACGTTACATACAAACCGGTAAAATATTTATGATACGAACAAAGAAAAAGAACAGTAAATTCTATTTAGGTAAAGTAGCAATTCCATATACAATGATTGTATCATCAATTGTTATTTGGATGAGTCTTTTGTGGATGCAACCGCATAAAGTAAGTTATATAGAATTGTAGCTAAAAAATAGTAAAATAAATAATTTAAGGAAGATCGCTTTGTTTTTCCAATATATCCATTAATAATTCTCTCTGCTTCAATTAGTATTGATCAAATCGAAGTAAATGTTGTTGCATTTTCCAATCGACAGAAGATTTCATTTATTTTTCTAAATTAGAATTTAATTCCACGTCTTGTTCGTTTAATAAAAATGAAACGTAATTCAGTTTTATTTGTTCGTCGTTTATTTCTTTATTCAATTATAATTTTTCACGGTTTAATATCAATATCAAGAACATTTGCTATTTTGGATGGTTATTCGGCACCAATTCGTCTTCTAACTCATTATAATACAACAGAAATATTTGAAAAATCATCCGATAAGCATTTAAATATTTGTATTGGAAAAGATTGGTATCGATTTCCATCACATTTTTTATTACCAGAAAAGTAAATAGATATTGTTTAATATTTAAATCTAATATTTCTATTTGTTTTTCTTCTTTCAGATCACAATTATTATTTCTTCGTTCTGCATTCAAAGGTCAATTACCAAAAGCATACAGTTCTTTGAAAAATGCAACCAGATTAACAGATAAACATTTTAATGATGAAAATAAAGAAGAAATTGATCGATATGTAAGTTTAATGCTTTATTGTGTAATAGATATTTAATTTATTAATGTTCATCATCTTTTTTGATAATTTATCGAAACAGTAGATTCCAAAGTTTTGTTTCCTAATTGATTGAATTTTTTTTTCTTAGATGAATTATCTACCGCTTGAGCAAAATCATCGTAATCAACAATTGAATTGTTGATTCAAAATTATCTGTAACATGTTTACATTCTAGTAACCTATGAATATTATGAGAATAATGCACATCTTACGCTAGCAGTTTTTAATAAAATGTCTGCTTCTTTCGAGAAGTAATTTCTTGGAAAAACTCATTTTCGAAATTTTACTGAATTTTTTGCATACAATCATAGTAATAGCATGTCTTTCATAAGCGTCATACCTAGCGATAGACTCGATGCTAGTCTTTTCAAGATAAGAGCTAGTAACAAATCGATAAATTTCATTATGAATTATTGTTACGAAAGCTCTCAACTATAGAAACGTTGAAATCGAATTTCAAAAGTTAGTTTTCTTATTGTGGCTGAGAAAATCAAACTAATAATCCAATGAAA